TGATGACCATCAGGTATACTACTGCGGGCAAGAATCCCTCAGAAGAAATGGAGTAGCCTTCATTCATGATGTCTTTATCATCATGGGGGATTGGAATGCTAAAGTAGGAAGCCAAAGATAACCGGAATAACAGGCAAGTTTGGCCTTGGAGTACAAAATGAAGCAGGGCACAGGCTGGTAGAATTTTGTCAAGAGAATAAGATGGTCATAGCAAACACTCTTTTCCAACAACCCAAGAGATGACTCTACACGTGGACATCACCAGATGGTCAACACAGAAATCAGACTGACTATGTGCTCTGCAGCCAAAGATGGAGAAGCTCTATACAGTCAGTAAAAACAAGACCAGGAGCCGACTGTGGCTCAGATCATGAGCTTCTCATTGCAAAATTTAGGTTTAATTTGAAGAAAGTAGGGAAAAGCATTAGGCCACTCAGGTATGACCTAAATCATATCCCTGATGAATATACAGTAGAGGTGACAAATAGATTTAAGGAATTAGATCTGATAGACAGAGTGCCTGAAGAACTATGGTTGGAGATTCGCAGCAAATAAAACCATCCCAAAGAAAAAGAAATGCAAGAAAGCAAAATGGCTGTCTGAGGAAGCTTTACAAATAGATGAGGAAAGAAGGGAAGCGAAAGGTAAGGGAGAAAGAGAAAGGTACACCCAATTGAATGCAGAATTCCAGAGAATAGCTAGAAGAGGTAAGAATGCCTTCTTAAATGAACAGTGTAAAGAAATAGAAGAAAACAATAGAATAGGGAGGACCAGAGATCTCTTCAAGAAAACTGGAGATATGAAGGGAATGTTTCATGCAAAGATGGGCAAGATATAGGACCAAAATGGCAGGGACCTAACAGAGGCAGAAAAGATTAAGAAGAGGTGGCAAGATTACACAGACGAACTATACAAGAAAGAGCTTAATGTCCCTGATAACCTCAATGGTGTGGTCACTGCCCTTGAGCCAGACATCCTGGAATGTGAAGTGAAATGGGCCTTAGGAAGT